CACAGGCCAGCTCTTTGCTGTGGCCCAGGAGGGCAGTGGAGGATGGCCCAAGTGCTTGGGCGCTGCACCCACATGGGAGACCAGGAGGAAGCGCTTGGCTCCTGGCTTCGGATCAGCACGGTGCACTGGCCACAGCGGCCACTGGGGGGTGAACCAACGGAAAAAAGAAAGACCTTTCTCTATGTCTCTCTCTCTCTCTTTCACTGTCCACTCTGCCTGTCCAAAAAAAAAAAAAAAAAAAAAAAGAGAGAGAGAGAGAGAGACTCTGTTACAGCATCAGTCCTAGTTCCAAAGGATCTATAGTTGTAGAATGAATAAATGCATTTTGGTAGTCATACAAAAGAATATCAACAATTAGTGGAAATAAACTGAGATATATATCATAACATAAATGAGTCTAACAAACATAATATGAATTAAAGGGAGTCCATTACAAAAGATTGTTTTATAAATATCCATTTATTGTGTGAGCATAAGTTTTGAAGATCTAAAAGTTAGTAGGAATTCAATGAGTGTTAAATATATGGTTGAATAAATGAATGCTTTCTGATTAAAAAAATAAAGTCTGAAAGCATAATTGAATTTTTTTTCAAATAAAATGTATTGGTGTCAGAGTAAATCGTCTGTATAATATCCTTTGACATTTCATGAGAGTTTATTTTACCATACATCAGCAATTATTTTATGTGTTTTATATCTGAGAATGTTTTCTATAATTCTGTAACATGAATATTTATTGCTCATGATATTATTTGTTAAGAGTATCTGCATTTTTGTATTTGCTTAATCTATCAATAACTGGGACAGGCACTTTTAAATTGATCAATAAAATGACAGATTTATTAATTCCCCTGTGCAACTCTGAGACCCACAGAAATTTACATCTATTATATATTCTTACATTCTTGGTGGATTTAATTTTTAATTATGGGCAGGCCTTCTCATGCTTTTTGTGTTAAAAATACACTTTTGTCCAATACTAAAAAATAACTCAGCTGTATTTTCTTGGTATATTCTTGCCCTTTTTAATTTTTACTCTTCTTATATTTCTGTACATTATATATGCACACATAAATATGATACAGATATATACATATGGCTGAAATTTACTTTTCCATTCAAACGATATCTTAACTGATGGTTACTATTTATTCTCTTTTATTCATATATTTGGACTGTTGTCTTTACAACTGCATTTGTTTCACCTTATTTATGTTTAGGTTTTTGCCTTTTCTTGGACAGTTTGAGTTACTTTTCCACTTCTTTTATTTAAAATTCTTGTTCCCATTTTTTCCCATTATTTAGAAAATTATATACTCTATTTCCTTATAATGATTATTCTTGATATTATACAGTGCATACTTAGACAATGTCAAAATTAACCAATGTCTAATAGCTTTTATCCTGAACAATTCATGGATGCTGAACTTAAAATTAGGATTACCATATTTCAGCTAATGCTATTTCTATTCTCTGTTGCAGTAACTTATTAAAAATGTAGTTATATTTCAGTAGAGGTCTTTCAGAATATCTCATTGGGAGCAAGAGAAGCAGAGATCTTCCCCCTTTTATGCTGACCTAGGTTTCTGATTTTGTGCTATTGCTTCTTGGCTGAAGGTTAACTACTCAATGTTAGGGTGGAATATTCCATCTTCCCCTCTGCTATTCTATTCTGGAACTGCTTCTCTGTAGACCCATTGTAGATGTTCAATAAAGGAACCCAAACAGCAGGCCATTCCTGTAGTCCTTTTCCTGAAGGTTCCCTGACAAGTAGCCCCTTGGACTCTAGGATCATAATATGTACAACCAATGGAGAAACCAGAGACAAGAGGCAGGAAGTCCTGCTACATTCCTGTGCACGTGGTCACTCTGAGGTATTGTCCGATTTTGCATAGGACATTGCCAAGATCTACACTCTATCTAAATGGACAGTGGCTTTTCTTCATCACATTTTGCACTTGGCAGCTATGTGCTACTAAAGCTTCTGCAAATTTTCATATAACGCTATTTCTTTTTTAAAATTTATTATGTTACAAAGAAAGAGAGGCAGAGGGGGAGGGAGGGAGGGAGGGAGGGAGAGAGAGAGAGAGAGAGAGAGAATATGAATCTTTCATCTCCTGGCTCACTCCCCAAAAGGCCACACAGTTGGGGCTGGGCCAGGCTGAAGCCAGGAGCCAGGCGCTCCATCCAGGTCTCACATGTGGGTGTAGTAGCCCAAGGATTTGGGCCATTTTCTGCTGATTTCTCAGGCACACTAGCAGGAAGCTGGATCAGAAGCTGAGCAGCTGGGACTCAAAGTGGTGTCTATATGGGATGCTGGCACTGCAAGCAGTGCCTTTACCCACTATGCCACAGCACTGGTCCCACTCCACAATTGCATTCTTTTTTTAAAAAAATTTATTTACTTATTTGACAGATAGAGTTAGACAGTGAGAAAGAGAGAGAGAGAGAGAGAGAGAGAGAGAGAGAGAGAGAGAGAGGTCTTCTTTCCATTGGTTCACTCCCCAAATGGCCGCTACAGCCGGTGCTGCACCAATCCGAAGCCAGGAGCTAGGTGCTTCTTTCTGGTCTCCCATGTGGGTGCACGGGCCCAAGCACTTGGGTCATCCTCTACTGCCCTCCTGGGCCACAGCAGAGAGCTGGACTAGAAGAGGAGCAACTGGGACTAGAACCTGGCGCCCATATGGGATGTCAGCGCCACAGGTGGAGGATTAACCAAGTGAGCCACGGCCCTGGCCCCCACAATTGCATTCTTTAACTCCCTCCCAGGATCCTTTTGGGGAATCCATTTTTATAAATTGCCCACTAATCTAGTATGTGCTGATTCCTTTTTAAGGATTCTAGTCCATTCTTTGTTCTACCTGAGGTCCCCCATGAGTGTATGGGCACATATACAGTCACCCAGTAGAAAGAGCAGGAGTTGCACACTATGGGATGTCTTTCCTTTTGCTACTCAGGCAAACAGTTTCTTTTTATTACTACCAAAGTTTGGTGTCTAGGAGTGATCAAGGCTACTCCTTGCTGCTCTTTAGGACTTTCTCAAGGGTGAATCAGGCTATACCACTTCCAAAATGATGTTCTCAAGCTTATGGATGTTCTGTTGGCTACTTTGCCACAATAAAGGTAAGGGAGCAGACAGGTAGGGCATCTGCTTCTTGGCTCTTTTAGTCTTCTCTATGAAATATGTTAGCCGGTCAACCAGCCAATATAGAGATGCATGAAGATTGGAATGACTTGTATTTCTCTCAAATACTGTGGCTGGAAGAGGTATTTACAAAAGCTGAGGGAAATGCTAATCCAGACAAACTATTCAAAAAGTATTTATGTGGAAGGTCACCAACTTACTAGTCTGCACAGCATACCTTCAATTAACTGTTTCTCAGTCCAGCTTTAGCTTATGAAATGATCCTGGAGCCCAATTAACTCTCTCATTTGGATTGTCAGCCTTCTAGGAGTCTGGAAAATAAATTTCATTTTCACAAATTAAGAAATTCATTCATCCAGTAAACAGTACCTCATTTTGCCTATGCAGCAGGGTGAGCTAAAGACTGTTGCTCTGATGCGGAATAAATCTCTGCCAACTTTGCAGGACTTGTTGGGATGTATTCTTGTTCAAGCTTCTGCTAGTCAATGAAAACAATGCATCTTCTATCAGATCAATCATTCCAGATGGGCTTTAGAGGAGGCAACAAGCTGTTTCTAGCAGGCTTGCTTCTAGTACTTTGATGTTAGTCCAGTGAATGAAAATCTCCATGGAGTGCAACTGGGATCACTAGATTCTACTCCGGAGGTTGAAGCCCAAGTCCTAGACAACACAGTCTTTATTTCTTGGCGTTTCTCTCTCCTGGAACTTTGTGGTAGAGAAAAGGGTGGATATTCCTTGACCCCCTCTCCCCCCAATTACCTGGGTGAACACTATGTTATCATTATTTCATACATTAGTACATTTTCAACAACCTGGTCATTCTCATTGACTACTTTAGTAGGCTTTTATAGCTTCCTCCAGATACTCCTTTTCTTTCAGAGACTTTTATTCAGGATAGTACTCAAGGACCTAGGATCCTACTGTTCACCAGTCTAAGGGGCCCCCTTACACAGAGTGACTATCCCATGCTCTGGCCTCACCTCCCTCCTGCTGCCCTGCCCATTCCAGACTCCCTTACAGCCCCTCCTGCTGCTGCTAAATGCTTCTGTCTTGCTCCAATTCGGGAGGTACCATATTCCTCCAAGAACCTCAGGAAACGGTCACTTGAAAAAGGGACCAGACACTTAGTGTCAGTATATGAAAGCTTTACAGGGTGATCAGCAACAGAAACACTATCTGATGCCCCAACAAACTGGTGCAGTCTCTCAGACCTTCCCTTCTGTACAGTTCTCTTGACAGATGTTCGCTAATTACAAGATTGCAGATAAATCAGAAAATGTTAATCTGTTCTTCCACTTCCAGTGTTTCATCACCTCAAGTGGTTAAGTGTGAGCTATGCAAAATGATCTTTTGAGGCTGACACTTCACCCAGGATAAATTCTGCTCGGACATTAGGTGCGCAGTTGAGAAATGCCTGTAGATCACAATGATCTCTTCTGCAAACTCCAGCTTGGACCTCAGCACCATGTGAATATATTTACCTGTAGCTCTGCTACCCATTCCAAGCCTTCTCTAGCTCCATGGAAAACAACTCTATCTTCCCGTATCTAGGTAGGAGTGACCTTTCAGGCTCCAGGACTCTGAAGCTCTGGAAAAGCAAAAACATGCAAGGCTTCCAGAAACCATGGAAGTTGGCTGCCAGGCCAGTGTTTAATTTCACTTTACTTTTATTTCTTATCTGTAGGACCATGGTTGACTGGCAGCAAAATTAACCACTCCATCAGAATATTAATACTGACCAAAATGAGAATGCACCTGCTGTGCTGAGAGTGTTGGGGTCATGGTGGGTTACCCATATTCCTCTGGTGTACAAGGGCACAAAATGGGTTGTGAAATAAACCAGGCACACAAAACATTCCCTTCTCATGCTTTAATCCCATACCCTGTGCCCCATTTCTGGAGGATGTGTCCCCGGTCCTTGCCACTCCCACAATCAGAGCAGGTGAGGTTCATAATCTCTCAGCCTCATCTCTGTGGGGCTTTATCAGGCTACAGAGATCCTTGGGCCATCGTGAGATAATATCACTCAGTTCTTAGTTACATGAAAATGAAATCACATAAGAAAAAGCAAACGACAAAAATACATGAAAGCCATTTACTCCTGGTAAATTCTTCAGGGTCCCAGGTGCTGGGGTTGGTTCATGGTTTTTCCTGATGTTGGAGAACTGAGGCAGGGATGGTGGGAACTGGGTGCCAGGAGAACAGTCTTGATGGTGTTCGCCAGCAGCAATAGCTTTTTCTTATTTTGCTATCGTTTGATCTCAGATCTTCAGTTTCATGTAAATGAAGTCACCTAATCAATCATGATTCTATAATCATGTAGTGCCTCTGCAAGCTGATACTGTCCCCAAATCCCCTCACACCACCTGTATGTAGAGGGTGAGGAGGGGTGGGTGGGCTTGTACATATGTGGGAATGTAAATAATTTCACTATGACTTCATTAATGCTTTACCGAATCCCTCAGCACTCAAATGCTACGTATCCCTTGTAGAAGTGCTAGGGACAAAACCAAGAGACTGGCTGGATAGCAGGAAGGCTAAAGGCATGAGTATTGGGACAGGAAAAAAAAACCCACAAGGGAAGAGGTGCCCGAGTAGGCCCTCCTCTCTAGCAGTGTCTGGCACCTGTCTCATGTTGACAATAGGGAAGGCAGCAGCTGGACAAGGTTCCTGTTAAGCAGCCTTGAGATTCTTGCCCACCAATCACTTCTCCCATTTCTCCCCAGCATCAAAGGAAAGTGCGTGGTGAGGAAGTGAATCAGACAGGGAGGGATTTGTACAGTTATCCTGCAAGTATGTGGCAAAGGTCTCAGGACGCAAATCTCCTGTCTTGAGTTCAGGGCTGTGTGCTTTAAGGTTTGAGCCCAGTGAGGACAGAATCCTTCAGGCTGGTCCCTTACCAAATCCAAGTACTTGTCCTTGGCCACTTTCAACTTGAGGCTGTCAAGAAGTCTTCAGGATGTGTAACAGGTTAGTTTTTGGAACAGTAACCACAACCTCTTAAGTCTTCTGGTTCTCCCTACTTTACCCGCATCAGGTAGAAGCAGGGGCACTTCAGTCAAGGAGAAATCGCAACTCCTCCATGCATAGAAGCAGGTTGAGAGAACTGAGGTTCTGCCTGCGACTTTTATGGTAAGGTCTGGGCCGCTAGGGGCGACTCCCGAGAAAAGGCCTTCCCGGCTGACCAGAGGGCTTCGCCTAGCCCACCCTTGGGTAAGGGTTGAATGCAGGTCTCCTCACCTGGAGGCTATGCTAGGAGGTCTTTTCTGAGTGGGTCCTCTGATGCCTTATTAAGTGATACCCTCTGCTGAAGCTCTTCCCACAGGTTGGGCATGTGAACGGCTTCTCTCCGGTGTGTGTGCGCTGATGCCGGACAAGGTGGTCCCTCCGGCTGAAGCTTTTCCCACACTCGTTGCACCGGCAGGGCCTCACCGCGGCATGCCCTCGCAGGTGCTTGGCAAACGCAGCGCTGTGGTTGAAGCAGCGCCCACACTCGCTGCACAGGTACAGCTCCTCGGCTGCATGCGTCTTCCGGTGCGCCAGATAGCGCCTGTGGTCACTGAAGTCCTCGCCACACTCTCCACACAGGTAGGGCTTGCCCCCAAGGTGGATTCTTTGGTGTGTTGTTAGCACGGATTTCTGGCTGAAGCTTTTGCCACAGATGGTACAGAAGAAGGGTTTTTCTCCTGTATGTGTCCTCTGATGCCTGACCAGGTCTGAAGTCCAGCGGAAGTGCTTCCCACAGTCGTTGCACCTGTAGGGTTTCTCCACGGGTGGTGTTCTCTCGGCCTGAATCAGGGGGGGCGCTTCATCCAGAGTCTTCCGGTTTAGGGGGTACTTATAAGGAGTGCTCATCTTGTGGACCTTCTGGTGCCTGGCAAGATGTGAGCTCCGCGTGTAACTTTTCCCACATTCCATGCACTTGTAGGGTTTCTCTCCTGTGTGAGTCCTCAGGTGTCTCACCAGGTGGGAGTTACAAGTGAAGCTCTTTCCACAAACAGGACAGTCATGGTGTCTCCCTAACAGGGGGTGGATGGCCATAGCTTCTGGAAGATTGATGAAACTATTAACTGGAGAAATATTTGTGCCAAATCTTCTTTCATTAAGTCTGCCTGGACTATTGTCAAACACTACTTCCCAATCTGGGGTCTGGTGGATTTCTGGATCTTCCAAAATGGACCTGTGCATATCCTCCAAACTCAGATCTTCTTGTTCAAAATACTCTTCTTCGTCTTCGCTCCTGTCTCCTACAGAAGGGGTGAGAGGAGAAAAGGGGAAATTGCAGTGACAACAATAACTTCTACACCAGAGGGTGGTTTTTTTCTTTTAAACAGGGTTTGTGGAGACTGTATAGAGAACAGCCTGTGTTTCATAAAGGCAGAGGTTGGGAAAGAAGGAAATATTGACAGTCACTGTTCTACATGTTATATTATCAGAAAGCCTTAGAATGGATGTTATTATCCTCATTGTACAAGTGCACACTGAGGACCGAGTGCCGAGATGCACTGTGTGGTAAATGGTATGGGTGGGATTCCAGAAGCTTACCTGTTTTACTTCTCTTACACCGTTTTGGACTCCTTAACCCTCAAGCAAATGAAAGAGAGGTCAAGAAGAGGAAAACCACGTAAGAATTTTCTATCAGAGGGAGTAGGGAGTCATGGCTGAAGTGTTAGGAGAACCAAGGAGAAGGGACCTTCGGAGGAGAAGCACTGATTAGAATGGCCCACTCAGGGTGAGTGAGACCACGTTGTCATTCCTCACCTGTGTAGATAAAACTCAGGATTTCTGGCTCGTCGGGCTCTTGAGGTGGCTCTGGAACATCTAGGACCTGAGGTTCCTCCTCTCTCTCCTGGGGGATCTCCTCTAGTCTGGGGATTGGAAATGCTGCCCGAGAGAGGGAGAACAGGACATCACGATAGGCTCCACAATTTCCTGTGCTAAGAGCAGATCTGCTCTCTAGCAGGTTGTAGAGCAAATTCCTATCAAGGTCAGCTGACAAAATCTTTGGTCTCTTTAGCTTGAGCACCTCTAACCAAGTGCATCTTCCTTGTGCCTTTCACCTGCAGCTCAACAATGATGTCACCGTAAAACTTACCCTCTTTTCTCAGATTCAAGAAAATAGATTAGCTTCCTTCCTTACTGCTTGTTTTGAAATTCACATGTTTACCTCAAACATTTCTATATTAAAGCTATAACTTTGGGCCAGTGGGTTAACGCCCTGGCCTGAAGCACTGGCATCCCATATGGGCGCCGGTTCGAGTCCCGGCTGCTCCTCTTCCGATCCAGCTCTCTGCTATGGCCTGGGAAAGCAGTAGAATGGTCCAAGTCCTTGGGCCCCTGCACCCACGTGGGAGACCCGGAAGAAGCTCCTGGCTCCGGATCAGCACAGCTCTGGCTGTTGCAGCCATCTGGGGAGTGAACCATTGGATGGAAGACCTCTCTCTCTCTGTCTCTCCTCTCTCTGTGTAACTCTGACTTTCAAGGAAAATAAATAAAAAAATCTTAAAAAAAAAAAGCTATAATATTATAGCTTTATTTCCTTATTAGAGGTTTCTAAGCATTCTCTCCCCTGTAATTTGGAAGGACACCACCTCATCCTTCTATAGCCAATGGTTTCTCTAGTTTCATGGGTAGGGTAAGCATAAGAGAAGTTCAAGGCTTATACTCTAAGATCTAAGACTCCATTTCCAACAGGAGAAAGATCTCCGTTTAGAATGCTTTCGAAAGACTTGAAATTTCTTACACAAGGAGACCACAATTCCACAGTCTTCTTCCAAGACGTATTCTCCATAGAACTCTTTCTGTGTTGGATCCAGATCACTCCACTGGTCCTGGGAGAAGCAAACGGCCACATCCTTGAAAGTCACCAGTCCCTGGAACAATACAAGGATGCAACCAGAATGTGCGTGATGCTAGAGGTGGCCTCAGACTTTCTCCTGGAGGCAGGTCACGGGTTCAGGCAGGATCCATCCAGGAACCAAGCTGCAAAGGTCCAAGAGGCACCCTCCTTCTTCTGGTTTGGGGAAAGCACTGGCCACATGCTGCCCACCTCTATTCCACTGCTTTCCCTCTGGGCTGGCCTATGTTTTTCTTCAAGATATTGTTTAAAATTCAAAAACAATTCTTCAAAGTCGTCACGTAGCTTTTTTTGATGTTTTAATGCTATCTTCATATCTATAAAATTTCATCTCCTCTATGAAGCGCTCCTTAACTGACCCTATTACTTACACAGTCTACAGCATACAAAAGACTTCCGCCACCAGCCAGACTACAAGCTGAAACCATGGATGAGTTCTATTCCTTATGTCTGTCGCCACATGGCTTGGTTTCAGGGCTCTGGACACAGTGAATGCTTTATAAATGTCATGGCAGAGGTCAGTTGTTCTCACAAATGACTAGCAAATTTATTCCTAAAAACAAAAACTCCTGATTTAACAGCTTCAGAGCTGTACTACAGGGGTTGGTGGTGTGATAGGACAGGTTAAGCTGTTGCTTGCAACACTGGCATCCTGTATTGGAGTACAGGTTCAAGTTCTGGCTGCTCTGCCTCTGATCTAGCTCCCTGCTAATACACCTGGGAAAGCAGCATAAGGCCCAACTATTCGGGCCCCTGCCACCCACATAGGAGACCCAGATGGAGTTTCTGGCTCCTGACTTCAGCCCTGCCCAGATCTGGCCATTACGGCCATCTGGGGAGTAAACCACTGGATAAAAACTCTTCTCTCTCTCTCTCTCTGTGTCTCTCCCTCTCTGTCACTCTATGTTTCAAACAAAAAAAGGAATCTTAAAGGAAAATTGTACTGTACTGTTAGAAAATAATCCCATTTTGCTAGTCTCTCTGGTCAGTGGGAATCGAGAGGCTGTGGAGCCTGCAATTGCAATGGAGTGGGTTACTGTTTACCTTATTATTGCCTCCCCTCCCTGACTCCTGCTTACTGAGAACCTAAACCTGCAAAAAAGGAGAGGGCCCAGTTGTGTCCTGCCTGACAGACTGCCAACACCCACCAGTTCTTCAAACAGCCCCCTGTGACAGAGAACCAGGGCACACCTGGGACAGAGCAGTGAGAAGGGCAACCATCTCGGGGTCTCTGGAGCTCCTCTCTGCAGGCAGTTCTGGGTCCTGGGGCACGGGAACTTCTAAGAAAAAACAAAAAACAGCTGTGTGTGTATGTTGAGATTAGCAACATCGTATCCTAGTAACTGGCAAGAACTGAGCATTGTTCATCATCCTCATCAGGAATGTAGCCCTAACCTCCCTGCTATGGGCACCAAGAAACTGTTCCATCGGCAGCTCAAGTTTTGCAGCTCCAGCTCCAGGAAGACCAGAATGACAAGAGATCCAAGAATGTAGCGAGGCTTGGCCCTGTTTACAGGGGACTCTGGTTGGAACTGTCTCGTCAACATCCTGGATTCTGTCATTTCTTCCCCCTGTGGCAATCTACCCTTTCTCCTTGGTAGAGGTGAAACGCCGGGCGCACTCAGCCACAATCCCTCTTCCTGCTGAGGTTTCCCACCTGTCTCAGGAGGCTGCAGCTCCTCTTCACGACACGGGCTCTGCTCCTCCACTGCCTCCAGATCTGGGCTTGGTGTGGTTTCCTCCTGGGACTGCTCAGGGGTCGAGGTCTGCGCAGGATCCTGCAGCTCACTGGGGGACCCGGCCTCTGTCCCTGGATGCACTGTCTCCTCTGATAGAACTTCCTGGCCGTGAACATGGACGGTCACCTGGGAATAATTCCAACTTCCCGTCACCGTGGAGTCAGAAGAAAATTCTTGGTTGTTATCCTGGCTTATCTGGGGAGAAGCTTCCTTGGGGAAAGCTCCCCCAGGAGCAGGGTGAGGAGGCCTGGGAAGGGGAGCTGAAGGGTTTCCTCCCCAGGACCAGGCAGAAGACACTCACCCTGTTCCCAGCACCCGGGGCTCTGGGGCTCCCATCCTACCCACCTCTACTACCCCACCTACAGTGCCCCTTGCTGTCCGCTGCTATGGCTGACCACCCTGGAAGGGAAGCTGGGACTGGGTGTTGAAAGGAACTTTTGAGGAAGTCGCCAAATTCTCCTCCCTCGGAACTGAAAGCTCAGCATCCAGAGGGAAAACCAAGGCCAGGACTCTGGAGTGGCTGAGTCCCCCCAGATGCTCCCTCGGACAGGTGTTTCAAACCCAGAAGGTCACACTCATACACACACGTCCCCCTGCCAAGCCCGAGGCAGAGTCAGTTAGATGTTGAAGGATAATCGACAGAGGCCCTGTGAGCTCTCCCTGCCCACCCAGCCTTCCAGAAGGGAGTCCCCCTCCACATCACACAGATCAGGACTCCCCCTCCTCACCCACCGCCTTGGTCTCCTGGGCTGTTTCTGCAAACCCTCCACCAGCGTCACCGCCTCCTCGCCGCTTTCTGGCCGTTGGCCCCGCACCCAGCTCTGCAGTTCTCCAGGCAGGACGGTAAGGAACTGCTCCAGCACGAGCAGCTCCAGGATCTGCTCCTTCGTCCGCCTCTCTGGCCTCAGCCACTGATGACAAAGTTCTCGGAGTCTGATGAGAGCTTCCCGCGGGCTCGCTGCTTCCTGATAGCGGAAGCGGCGGAAGTTCTGGTGAGATGTCTCCAGCACAGGGTCGTCCCTTTGCAAGACAGACTCTGGCCGACAGGGGAAATCATCTTCCAGTTTCACCGTGAAAATGCCCTCTTCTTCCCAAAGCCCTTGGTCCTCTGGCTCCAAGGCTGTGGCCATTTCCTGGCTCTGGGGCGGTCTCACACCATCTAGAGCTCACACTGGCATTGCCCCCAACTCTCAGCCTGGACACCTCGAGGAGTTTCTCCCAAGGGACCTGGATGAAGAAATAAAGACAAAGGGTCACGTAAGTGTGAAATGATACACAAGTTCAGGACAGGCCCCTACACATAATTCTTCACCTGATTATGTCCCCTTCCCCCTGGTCTCCATACCTTGTGTTGTGCTCTAGTGAGGACAGGAGATCATGCATGACTGGAGACTGGTCCTCTACTCCCTTTCCTAAGCCACATTCATAGCCCAAAGGAAAATACTGCATTTCTATTTCTATTTCATGGATACTACCGATTTTACCCCTTCTGCCTCCAAATCTGTTTTCTCTTCTTCCTTCCTGCCAGCTGCTTTAGTCTGTACCCTTGCTGTGACCTCCAACTGGGGTTCCTGCAGTATTCCAATGGCTAGGAGTAAGCACTCTTACAATCACCTACTAGGACTGACCACAGCGTTTGTTGTATGTACATGCCTATTTATGTATGAACTAGCATGTACTAGGGTACTTCAAAAGGTTCATGAAAAATGAGATTAAAAGATAAGTTTATTTGGGTGCAAAAAGTTTTGAAATTCGTGCACAAAAGGGACCTTCAAGCAGCTCATGAAAAAATGTACATTATGCAAAAATGTATGGATTTTACAATATTTTTGCACCAAAATAAACTTTCAATTCCATTTTTCCATGAACCTTCATACATCCTGAGAAACAGTGGCAGGGCTGCAATAGATGTGGAAGGCTTTATGGAGGTGCACTGTGTTCTGACTCAGTCAGGATTAACTGATAAAAAATGGGGACTCAAGAGATTTGAGGGGAGGGCTCTGTAACAGTGAGGGCTTACATAGTGGTTGGCACACAGAAACCCTAAAAACCAACCTTTCTTGTTAAGACATCTTCAATCGGCTGACGCATGGCCCCTCAAGCTCAAGTGTTCAAAACTAAATTCATTATTCCTACTCCCAAACCTACTTGTTTCTGGAATCATGTCTTGGCTGAGATCATTGTTACTAACAATCGACTTTGTAGTAAGCGTTGGATTCACCTGATTCTTCCTCGGTGCTTAACGCTCATTAAACCAACTCTATCACTTAAGCCTCTGTGTTTCTTCCTCTTCCCTTCCTGCAGACAGCTTTATTCTGGGCCCTCATCATTTCTCTTTGGGACCACTGCCATGATCTCCTTACTGGGGTCCCTACAGTAGGCAGTTACAAGCACAATGCAAAAGAATTACAGGAGGAGTTTTTGCAAAAGGGTACAGTATCACACATCACTCTTTTGGACATTCTGATTCAACCTAGACAACTGTAATTAAGCAATGCCATATGTAGTTCTACTGTGCATCCATGGTTGAGAAACACTGAGGAAGGTGTATAAGGTTAAGAGCCAGGGCCCTGGAATCAGTCAGCTATGGTTTGGATCCTGGCTCTACTGTACTTTGTCTACTGGGACAAAGTTGGAACTATGGTCAAGTTCTTATTCTCTTTATGCTGGCTTCTCCATTTACCAGAGATAATTGTGGCAATCATCCAATAGGGTACACTTAAGTATCAAATGGAGTACTAAATGTCTAGAAGAGTAATGATACTCTACTGTTAATCATATCTAAGTTATAGTTCTAACTATATTGCTCATATTTAAAATAATAAGTTCTTAGTAAGATTAGTTTTGAAATCCTGGGCACGAGATAGTCAACCCCAATCTGTTTTCCAAGCCTACGTTGTACTCTTCTTTATCACCTACCTATACTGAATGCACTGATCCACCTACAACAGGGTGCCCTTTCAGGCCTCCATGCTTTCTTGAAGCCTGCTCCCTCTAAATAGAACATTCTCCAGCTCCTCCTATTCCTGTTTATTCCTAACACGTTCTCTCTTCTTCATTCCCATGTTTTACAGGGAAACATGCTCTGTTTTATCTTTCTGACAGCATCAAATTGTAAAATGAGCCCTTGAATGGAATTTGATTTGCTTTTACTAAAATGCTAAGTTTCATTGACCCTGGATAAGTCTTTAGGTTAAATTTATCAGGGTATTCCTGAATCATGCACTTAGTGTACTGTTTGGACCTCTGTCCTCAAGTGATTTTGGTCCTAGTCAAACTTATGGAGATCTAACTTCCTTGCACTTTTCGGGCCAGCAGACAGATTTTCATGGAGAAGTAGCTCTGAAATGCTCAATTCTACAGCCTCCATACCTCCTAATATCGTAGTCCTATTTCCTGGTCGCAGCACAGGTATTAGAAGCCTAGAAAACTTTTCTTGGTAATAACATCCCCTAAGCCCATGGTGGAATCAACTTGTACTTATTTCTCTAGCTTTTATGTCTGCCTCTGAAAGCGACACATTTATCTTTAGTTTTTGGGAGAGACTACATAGGCAGGAAGCTCACCCACATTAGCTCCACTGAGATATGGTGAAGTAAAAGCAGTGAGCTTTCTAAACACACAAAACCTGCCAATGGCTTTGTCGTGTCCTTAGGATAGAACTGAAACTCTTTGCAACTTGATGCTCAAGGCCCTTCTAGACCTGGCCTGATGACCTCCTTTCTCCTTGACCGCCACCCCCACTGAAGGCCACAGCTGGAATGACTATTCAGTGTCTCTGCCATGCCCTCACCGGGCCTTCCTGACACAGCTCACTCAGCCTCTCCCTTTGGCTACCTCCACTCATCTTTCAGTTCGTTTTCCTGTAGTGCCCTCTCCAATCACTGGAGATTATGCTCCCCAGGAACTTGCTCCCCACCATACCACAGCATGCAATGTATGCATACTTGGTCATCAAAGTTGTTCCTTTTGCAGTTAAACTCATTGGACTGAGAGGTGCTGAGGGCAGCATGTGCTGCAGCCAGATCAGAGTCTGGCCCCCAAAAGGTGAACTACTGAATGCTAAGCACGCTTTCTGTTTAAGTCTGTCTCTGGAAGGACAGATGCCATGTTGTATTATTTATTCATTCATTTGTCCAGCAATCTGTGTGCTGGATAAATTAATAAATAAGAAAAGACATTTATTGTTTGCACTGTGAGAAAAACAGAATACTTTCATGGTTCCCAGAGTGATGGAACCACAAGTCATCACAAGGAGTGTTCAGTTTTACATGGGGATAATCCAAATGCAAGTCACACGCAACTGAGCATCTGAATCAATTTCAATATCTACAAAGATCAGACATCAAGTAATTTAATGCAACTACAATACTGATTATTTATGCAGACAAAGCTCCCCCATACCTCCCACTCCTCTAAGGAGGGGAAGAGAAGACAGAATTGATACACAGGGTCCCTTAGCTTTAACAAAAGAATCTCTATTATTTCATTAGTCTGAGAACTAATGTTCAGTGAAGTAGACTAGGAACCCTCAACGTTTTCATGGAGCACTATGCACAAGATTCCATACTACAGATCCTACACCCTCTGCATGAACAGAAGGCTCCTGCTCTCAGTGGGCTTTGCTCTCTGAAGAAAAAGGAAGGGAATAAATGTGACACGTTAAATCCATCATTTTCAAGTGCCCTTCAGAAGTCACAAGTTGAGATTCCTGTTGCTTGTCTTACATTTATTTTGGTGGCCCAGGGAGAGAAGATGAAGAAAAACAGATCAGCAGCAGTGGGAATGAAGGGAAAGGAATAAGAGATGGGAAGAACAGCACAGTAGTGCGCTGCAGAGCAGAGCTCTGGACTGGGTACCCAAGTCCTCAAATAACTAGAGCAACTATAAGGATTTCTTGGGCAACATAAGCAAGAGCGCTTGCAGGTAAGGTCCTCTGGAGAGAACTATTACACTAATTCACAGAATTACCTGAGTTGAGAGTGCTTTATGAACTAAAATAGGCTATGTAAATACCAAACATGTGTTAGTATTACAGACAGAACATGGATGTCTTATTCTAACATTCATGGGATGTGCTATACTGCAAGACTGCCTTGCAATTTGCGGCCTTTACTATTCTAATGCCTTTTTTGACGTCTGTGAGTTTAGAATACAGAATGTGAAAGTAGGTCAGGAAAAGTAAAAGACTTGGTTTCAGAAAAGACTAAAACAAGCCTGGGCTGACCTAGAGGTTTGAGTGGGTGTTTTAGGATGCATGCAGTAAGGCTGGGGAGGAGACAGGAAGAAGGGAAGGCCTTTGTGCAATCCTTGGCCCACCTGCCTCTGTTCCTTACCTGTAGGTGTCACATTTGAATTCTCCAACTGTCCCTAACAATTCTCTTGACACAGACAGAAAACCACAGGTGATAAAAGAGTATTTAGTTCTCTATTTTAAAACACTACCATCTAGGGTGAGCTTTCTTGCTCCTAAATAACAGGGATCTGCCTAAATGAGAGAGGGTGATCTGACTATTATATACTTAGTGGGTATTTACATCCCTTCCAGCCTGCATTCTCACTTTTTCTCTAATGCAGACCATAATCTGCAAATCTGAAGATTTTTCAATAGCTCCTCTCACTGTTCTCAAATAGAAATCAACAAATAAAAACTGTTAATTGCTCTGTTCCAATGCTACTATTCTTTAGTTAATTAACGATTACTCCAATATAACCCTTTACCTGGAAAGATTCCTTGTTATTTTTATTGCTCTATATTCAAATGTGTGTTCAGGCTTCCCAGGTAATGGTGAGGGGCTTTGGAACCCTGAGTTTGAATCCCTCCTCTCACTTCTTAGAAATATGATACTAACTCTCCAAGCCTCAGTTGCATCCTTAAAATAGGACTAATATTACTTACTTCACATTGTTGTTTTAAGCAGTAATAAAGTAACCTATAGAAATCTCTCAGTATAGAGTCTGGCATAGGGTAGATGCCCAAAATAGTTTATTCTTTCTTCTTCAAGCTGTTTTAAATCCTTTTGGGAGGTAGGCAAGATTTAAATGATAAGCAAACAATTTTTTTTTCATCATAAATAGAAAAAAAATAGAATACACAGATAAAATATTGGTCTGTTTACTTTTACATCACAAATGAAGTGTTAAAGCCAGTCCTTGCTTTTAAAGCAATGAGGTAAGATGGAACCAAAGCCTCAGAACATAGGTGGGATGGTCCTGCTCAGTGTCTCTACTAACCAACTGCAAGTCCCCTCCTGTCCTCATGACTGGGAGGAGGCAATCTGAGGCCAACCCAGTTAGTAAACCCAAGAGGCCCTTTGAAAACGTAACCCAGAAGGCAAGAGAAACAGGGAACACATGCTCTGACTTTTGGCCCCCTAACACATCAGGATGAGTATGCTGAAACAATTCTATGAATTATTTCTTTAAAATATTTTTGCCAGCTAATTTCTTCCCCTTCATAAAACTAATATTTGAGTAGCCAAGTTGGCTCAAGGCTTTTTACAACAGGTTTTAAAGAAACAGAATTAGCAGTAGACATGGGGGAAAACGGGAAGAAATAAAAAGAGAGGGATGCTGGGTAAGCAGCAGGTGGTACAGGAAGTCAGCGGAGGCCATGACAACAAGCATCGTCTGCCCTGACATACTGCAGGCATTGTGGTTAGCATCAAGGTAAATGCCAGTGAGAGAAGATGTAAACACAGAAATGTAAAATAAAAATCCTAACGATTTATTTTTAATTAAAACTTTTTTTTTTTCTACAGTCACCTCCTGCAGTCCTCAGAGGCAATGCCAGCAGCAAATAGGTCAGTCTTCGGAGGGCAAGGACCCATGTGCTACTCTTGCTCTACCTCTTCAACATGGAAAAGTCACATCAACTCATCTCGACAGCAGGGATGAGTCTTTCCTAAAGGCCAAGAACTGGATCATCTTTTGAGAAATCAACCAGCTTTATAATGGTGATGAGGGACTCTGAAAGGAACAAGGACCCCTGGTTCTTATATTGAGTATCAGATCCATAATACATCAGCATAGGATGGTGAGAGGGATTTACTCAAGAGGCCAAATACAGATTTTAAGAGGCCAGAATTAGAACACCTGGCCACTATGTTCATGCTGGTTAATCTCCAACACGAAGCCAGACTTTTCAAACATAAGGGATATTACCCAGAACTGGTTACTGACTTAAAAAATGCAGTTCAATCTACATGCCTCAGTTTTAAACAAAACATCACAAAGTAATGTGAAGCAGGCAAACCAAGAGACATCAGTCAAACCTGAGGCCCATCCTTATGAGAGCAGCAGCTTTCATCTGGTGGTCAGAGTCAAAACTAGGTATACTCAATTCCTACAATGAACATGGTGGATGCCAATCACATGGTTGGAGGAACCATCATTTCATTGGAAATAATAGGATAATAGACATTATACAAACAGTTTGACCTGAGGTATTGACTTGGCTAAGTAGAACAAGTCAACTCAAGTCATTTCTCTTTCTGGCTCTGAATGAACACACAGCATCAGATACCCTCTGCCCTGTTTCTAGGTGGTGTCCTTGAAGGCTCTGCCCAAGGCTCCTCTGATTGGCTGAGATGACAACAGATGGGTCCCTTGCCTGCTGGACCACATGAACCTGAAGAGTGCCAGCCTTCCACTGTAGACTGTATCATGAGCCAAAGGAGTCATTTTTGTTGTGTCTGTCTCCCTTATTGTGAGTCCTGCCTACTGGAGGAAGGATTTCCTATGCACTTTTATATTTCCAAAACCTACCCCTTGGTGAAGCCCTTAGTAGAAAATGCACTCAATACATTTCTTTTACCCCAACTTAGATGTAGAAGTACTGAAGATTCAGAAATCAGTAGGTACCAACAGATTTTTTCCAGGAGTCAGGTGGTCTAGCCATCTCCTGGCTTGACAAACTCCAAGAGGGAGGAGGGCAGGGATGGAGTTCACGCCACCCACTAATGTCTACTGCGCAGTACAAGGTGCTGGGCACAGAAAGGTGAAAAACCCATAGGCTCTGACCTTGAGAGCAGGGTAGTTAAGAAACAGCAGGGGCTTCAGCAATACTAGGAATTCGCAGCAAAAGCCTAGAACATGGGAGTGATCTAAATGATCACAACGGAAGCTGCCTATCAAAAGAATAAAGAAAGTCAAAGGGGGAAAACTCATCATTGTTTGGTCTTAAATTTGGCATAAGATAATGTAGCATCCAGTACACTCAATTTTACAAACAGAAGTGGTTAAACGCCCCACAAAAGATCAGATTGCTAGTTCCCAGCACAGAAGTACTCACAGCTCTCTGCATCTCCAGAGGGCTGCAATGTGCACAGTCTGGCTAAAGGCTGCAGCTCTCAAAGTGGGGAATCCAGCAGCGGCAGCGGCAGCACCTGAGACCCTGTTAGACACTCAGGTTCTCCAGCCCCAGCCCAGCCTTTTTATTGAGAGGTCTGGGGGTGGGCCCTCAGCAATCTGTGTTTAACAAGCCCTTCAGGTGCTTAAGTTAAGATGGGAAGTTTAAGAACCACCACCTAAGCCAAGGAAGCAATTTTGGGGTTCAGGGAGCAAGGAAAAACTTTACCAGTTTGCTCAAAATAAAGGAGGGGCTGGTGAGAGGGTGGCAAGAAGAGGAAGAGTCTAGGATTGTTCTACATCAGTGCCAAATAAACCGGAAAAAATGTTATAAACCTGTCACTTACCTCATCTGTATAGTCTGTAACGACCAAGAGTCCCTCACATTGTAGTTAACCTCGCTGTGCCCTTGAAATGACTGTCTACTGCAATAGAGTATATAGACAGAGTGCAAAAGGGGGACAGCTGGAGGAGAAAGGGGGAGAGAGTGTGAATCCCAGTGTCTGGTCCCAGGAGGAACATCTTCCAGCCCCCCTCCAATCCTGCCCACCCTCTTATGCTAGACAGTATTAGCAGCAAGGTCCCCAAGACATGGCCACAAACCCTAACTGCTTGCTGTCACGCACGTCCCACCAACATGCCTCCCGTGGCTATCCCACAACCTTTCTGAAGTGGCTTTCTGGTTCAAGGGCCATGGGGCAGCTTGGAAGAGAAGTTGGGAGGAGGGATGAGGGGCTCCACTAGCATTCCTTGTGGCTTCTGAGTGTAGCTGCCCTGGGTGTCACCTGCAGTGTGGACAGAGAAAAAGCAACAGTTCTAAGCTTGGCCTCTCAGAGAGTGCTGGCACTGCTTCCCCACGACCAAGGTGGTTCAAGAAGGGCTGGGCTGGGAGGCCAGTTCAGAGACCAAGGCCGACAGGGTTCTGGAGGTACTTAATGGACATAGCCACCCATTGCTTTAGGAATAAAAATTGGACCAACCCCGCTCTGAGACAACACAGTATTACTCCTGGGGCACAAACTGACAAACTTTTAGTTCAGACAGACAAGAGGCACGTAGGCTCCTGCTAAGGGCAACAGTGGTGTTGAGGAGTGGTGCCAGAACTGGCCGTTAGGGGCGGGGGAGGAAAGTTGCAAGTGGACACACCAGTGGCTGTCTCGAGGGAAAGCTCGGGGTCTGTTCCGGCGGCCGCTGAAGTGCCACAGGCCAGACAGTCTCCAGAGCCCAGCCCGCTCACGAGGGATAAGATCCCGGGCTGGGGGGAGCTATCCGCCGCCTGTTGGAGAAGAGGCTGGCGGCAGGGGCAGACAGGGGCTCGCTCCGGCCGGGAGCCTGCGAGGGACCAGTCTGAGAGGCGGGGTGAGAAAAGGCTGCAGGAAACCAAAGGGCCTAGACCACTCCCCCCTCGGTTCCGGGGGGCAGTTGGCGCGGAAGCAATAGGAGGTGCGGGCTCACTGCGTTTCTGCAGGCCCCAGGAGGGACGGAGGGCGGCGGCTGGACAGAGGAGCCAGCCCGGGGCGCCATCCGCATCCCAGGCGGTGCTGGCTGCGGCCGCCGGCAGACACGAAGGCCACACGCGGCGTCCCCCTCCGCACACGGCCGCCACCCCTTCCCCAGGACAGCGAATTTCCCCAGGCTCTGGGGGGCGGGGTCTGCGGCCCCTCCCCCTCCTCCCCGCCCTGCCCTGCCCTGCCCTGCCCTGCCGGGCCCTTCCCTGCCCTGCCGGGCTCCGTCCGATCCGGCCCGGCCCAGCCCAGCCCCCCAACACTCACGGCTCCGGCAGCTCCGGCGGCTCCTCCCCTGCCCCGACTTCACCCCCACCCACTCCGGGCCGAAACAGCGGCGCCGGATCCGAGCCGCGCGGGGCCTAGCGGGTCGGAACACGTGGGGCCTGAGCGCCCGGAACCGGAAGCAGCTGCTAGCCCCGCCTTCCGGCCGCGCTGGAGCCTGTCTAGGCTCGGGGAGGTTGGTTCCTCTCAGCGTGCCGGGCGTGGGTTGAGTCTCCCTGGCCCCATGCTAGGACTAGATGGACACTCGGGGCTTTCGTTTTACGCGCTTGGTTTTGGCAAGGTTTCCCCCCATCCTGTTTTTGATCTTCAGTGTATTTGCTTTGCGTTTGGTGCCTATAGTTATAGGTGTGCTCTTGATTTTTAATTTTGTTTTGTTTTACCCTTTGCATCGTCTGGAAGCATTGTGGAGAAAATCTTTGGGTTTCAGTGCAGGCTGTTGGAGTTCACAGTCACCTGCAGGCCCTCGGGTGAATCTTACCACCTCTCTTGACTCTCTGTCCATTTTGTTAAATAGGCATAACTATGTGGCATAATTTAAAAATACTAAATAATGTGTTTTTCTTTTTTAAAGAAGTTTATTTATTTCAAAGAGTTACAAAGGGAAGGAGAGACAGAGATCTTCCATCCATTGGTTCACTTCCCCAAACGTCGACAAAGGCAGGCAGGAGCCAGGAGCTTGTTCTGGGTCTCCCACGTGGGTGGCAGGGGCTCAAACATGCAGGTCATCTTCCTCCGCTTTCCCGGCCGTTAGTGGGGAGCTGGATCAGAAACGGAGCAGTGGGGGACCATTCGGTATGCTGGCATCCTTCTGACTTAGCCCACTGTGCCATCACACTGGCCCCATCTTGAACTAACTGGTACACAATAGAAACTCTGTGAGACAGTAGTTATGTTTTAATGATTTTCCTGTGTGTGTGTGTGTGTGTGTGTGTGTGTGTGTGAGTGAGAGAGAGAGAGAGAGAGAGAGACTCTCTTGCCTGGTTTCATTTGGTCTTTGCCAGAATGTGTAGTGTTTCTAGGTTTGCCTGCATTTTCCTTTCTTTCTATGCCTTTTACCCTGGATGCTGCCACTCTGCAGGTGCCATGTGTCTTCCCTTCCCAACTACTGCTCAGCACATTTTGTTTTCATGAAACATGACTGCGATCTATTTACTGTTTTTTTAATTGAAGTGTTAATCATTTTTGCTGGGAGAATGTCTTAGGATTCTCCAAGAAACAGTATTTACACAAAAGCAGCTTTATTGTGTCAATGGGCTCCCCTGGCTGTGGAGGCTGAGAAGTCCCCTGGTCTGCCCTCTGCAACCTAGAGAGCCAGGGAAGTTGGTGGTGTGGTTCCGCCCAGAGCATAAGTCCTTAGAACTGGAAGGGTTGCAGTAGGATGCAGGTGCAAGACGTGGAGTCTGCAGGGGAGTGAACTGGGAAGTGGTATCCCAAGGCACCAGAGACGGATGTCCTGGCCCAAGTAGATTGAATTTGCTCTTCCTCTACTTTTTTCTTCTCCTCCTGAGCCCTCAGCAGTTTGGATGACACCCATTCGCATTACTGAGAGTGAGCTTCTTTTTTTTTAAACTTTTATTTAATAAATATAAATTTTGAAAGTACAATTTTTGGATTATAGAGGTTTTTCCCCCCATAACCTCCCTCTCACCAGCAACCATCCCATCTCCCACTCCCTCTCACATCCCATTCTTCATCAAGATTCATTTTCAATTATATTTATATACAGAAGATCAACTTGGTATATCCTAAGAAAAGATTTCAACAGTTTGCACCCACACAGATACACAAAGTGTAAAGTACTGTTTGAGTACTAGTTTTACCATTAATTCACATAGTACTACACATTAAGGACAGAGCTCCTACATGGGGAGTAAGTGCACAGTGACTTCCGTTGTTGATTTAACAATTGACAATCTTTTTTATGATGTCAGTAATCACCTCAGGCTCTTGTCATGAGCTGCCAAGGCTATGGAAACCTCTTGAGTTCACAAATTCCGACCTTATTTAGACAAGGCCATAATTAAAGTGGAAGTTCTCTCCTCCCTTCAGAGAAAGGTACCTCCTTCTTTGATGGCCCGTTCTTTCTGCTGGGATCTCGAGAATGAGCTTCTTCCATAAGTCCATAATTCCAGTGCTGATCTCTTCCAGAAACACAGTCACACCCAGAAATAATCTTTTATTGGTTATCTAGGGATCTCTTAGTTGAGTAAAATTAACCATCACAGATAAGAATATGCAGTTCATGAAAACCTACTGTGAGCCAGATATTTTCTCTGACTCATTTAATATTTTAAAATATTAAGTGTATAAAATAATACTTAAAGATGTCCTTGTAAACATTTAATATACTACAGTGTTAAAGAAAAAACTAGGCAATGATACTTGTGACAGCACGTTAAGGCAGATTTTATTCACAACCATTGTGATAGGTATGAGGACCACTGCAATGAGTTCTTGCAGTGTGGGAGAGAGATTGGATACAAATCCAAATATAGGGTGTGCAAGTGGGAATTTATAGCCAAGGAGTAGGCGAGGGGTCATTGTCTAGAAAATGACTCAGAGGAAACTCGGGTAAGGAGGGTTCTGGTTAAACCCACTTAACAGGATTCTTGTTAAAGACACATCAGGTGGTTAGTTATCACTTTGGGATGCTGGAAGATGAGGAACCTGATTGGATACCAAGAATGGGAGCTTTGCTAAACTAATTTTGCTAAAATTGCATTTTACAGGGAAATGTACAGGTGGACCCAGGTGAAGATTCAAAAGTCTAAATAAAGCTGGGCAGGGCAAAGAGCTTTTGTCAAAAGCAAAAACCAATGATCTGGCTTCCTTATATCCAGAAGTTAACCATTCTTATGAGTCTGGTGTCTTT